TTTTTTTTTTTTAAATTTATCCACGACAACTTTTAAACGGGGTTCGACTGTGTAACACGACGTGTGGGATATGAACCATCCAAATTCGTGGCCGCTCTCGCGTTCTCGTGTTCCACCCTCGCACCGCTCGCTCCCTCGATGAACCGTTAACTGTTGGCAACAAAATAAACGTCTGTGGAGAGAATATTGTGACTGAGTCTGCAGCTGTATTTTACAGCCAGAGCGCAGGACAAGAAATCATTCTGTTGACCAACGTGACTACTTAGTCATAACCTGCGATCATAACCAGTTTTGTGCAGTGCGTTTTCGCAAAACAGTCTTAACATATACACCTCAGTATTGGTCACTTACTTTAGTTGAAGAAAGTACTGTATATTCCTTAATTTAACAGTTCGAAATTTTCACCGTTACTGGAATATGACAGACTATGCAATTTCCGCTGTTGAGCAAGGACTAAAAATTAGATCAGTAATACAACAGCACAGGTGGCCTGAATTTCAGCCGCCTCCTCCGCTCGCTGAGTCACTCGAGGAGAGAGGCGCTCTCTCCCCGAGTGACTCGGACTTAGCGTCTCTCCCGCGAGCGAAGGAGGCGGCTGAAATTCAGGCCATATTACACTCGCTCTCCAGTTTTGCAGTCTTCTGTTTCGCGCTCGTCGACTGTTTTTTTCCCACCCTCGCCGGAAGCCTGTTCGCAGGCTAATTTTGGTCCTTAAATAACAGCTAAAATTGGATCAGTAATGGACCCCTATACAACTGGCTCTCCATTTCAGTTCGCCCTAAGTCAGAGACACTATCCAGTTCGAATCCAGTGGATAACTGTTAACAAAGTAAACTACGCTATCCACCGGAATGATTTATCCGGATAGCGTTTTCCACCTTTCGAAAAACCCGGACATACATCTGGGTTACGCATGAATTGGAGTGGCATAATTTCGTCTGGTTCGTCTGTCCGATCCTGAAATAATTTACATAAAACACGCAGTCTTTTTCGACAATTCTGCATCGACATGCAGCCGTAACTATCGTCCCTTATTTACCGTGACCTTGAAACGCTCAAGATATCTTAGCCCGAGAAACCGCTAAAAACCTGGAAACGAGATTTCGCGAAAATTTCGACAGTGAAATGATGCGTGGTTTGTGAGGGGTTTCGTAAAGTTGTTCAAACTCACCACGGCTTCAAAGCAATGATAAACGTTTGCAAACAATATCGATTTCCGAGGGATTAAACAGTAACTTTTGTTTTACAAAAACGGTGATGTGAGATCCAAGTTTAGCTCCAACGAACGTGTGTGCATCGTTATGACGAAAACGAACCAATCAGGAGACGCCATAGACCTCGGCACAATAGGACACCAGAACCTAACAACCTTTGTTATTGAAATGGCGGCGATGTAAACGGTCGCCAAGCATTCCCTTGTGTGAAATATTTGAGTTTTAAAAAGCTTCGTCCAGTAACCGCAGAAGGAGAGACCATCAAATATTCAGGACTTCTCGAGGGGTCGGTAAATGCTCGAAAGCACTTCGATAACTGCTGCGAATTGTGGATTAGTGAAAGCGTGTGGACGCCATATTTGATCTGTCAAAGATCTGCTTTCGAATTACTGGCAACGCTCTTGGACTTGTATCAGCTGCGTGGATTTAAACCGTTGGCTCTGTTTGTGGTTATATATAGCTTTGGAATTTGCCAGCAACTTTACGGCGAGACGGTGCTAAAACAGTTTACAAGCGCTGGAGTTCTACGGAATCCTTCGAACTTTGGAGAACCGTGTTGTTTTTGCCGAACGTGAGTACCAAACGACGCTTGAACACGATATTTTGACAGCTGTTTCCTCATCGAGTTTGAAGTCGTTGTATTCTGAGAAAGTTTATCGCATTGAGCGATTTTTATTTGGTGGAAGAATGGAAATTCACCTAAGTAAAGAGTAAACTGCGCCCTAAATTGACATTCCAAGCCCTCCAGCTCGGCCGTTGATCGGTAAGCTTAGAAGGGCAAATACCACAAACGATAAGGAAATCAACTTAGCTGCTTATGCATCGCCACTGGACTGTGAAACGGCAAGTTTGCGTGAATTTGTGAAAGACTTTAGAGCTTCGAAATCGTTTGAAAAACAATGCATTTGGCGTTACTGCAGTTTAACCTTGAACGGCTTGCCAGAATTTGCGTTGTCTGGGTTTTTGCATCGAGTTTGATTGTTGTGTCGGCTCAGAATGGCACCTCTCCGTTTTCAAACTTACTGTGTAACTTGCAGTGTCCATCTGGTTTCCACTGCTTTAACAACACCGTTAAGACGACGGTAATTGAATGGGGACACAATGGTCATATCTGTAACGGCCAGTCACCTGGAGAATGTTATAATGGAGAAATTGACCCCATGGGGTTTCAAAGAGCTCCTAGACAAGTTCCTCGAACAGTTGTACAAGGGGATACTGTGATATTTGAACCGGGTACAATCATACTTGAAGTTCTGAATGTTTCAAGAGATGCTTTCTTTAGCTGTGACTCAGTGAATGGACAGCTGGTTGAAAATAGAACTGATTCCTTATTCCAAGTGCCTTCAAAGTATTTAAACCCACCTGGAATCAAGTATTTTATAACAGAAGAGGACATTTTTAGAAGTTGTAGTTTTGGTATAAGGCTTGAAGTGTATGTACGTAGCCGTCAACAGCCAGGCTGTATAAACTCAGCAATACCTAACTTAGGTGTATGCAGCGGGGTTGGTCTTTGCACCAGTCAGGCAAACACCTTTTTTACACGGAATTACTCTTGCTTATGTTGTGATGCGTACAAAGGACAGTACTGTGAAGAGCTAGACAGTTGTCATGCCAGTAGGAACCCTTGTAAAAATGGTGCAACATGCCAAGATATCGTGGATGGTGTCGCCAATAGCTTTAACTGTAGTTGTGTGCCTGGATATGAGGGAACCTTTTGTGAAAAGAACATTGATGAATGCCAGTCTAGTCCATGCATAAATGGAGGATTTTGTGTGGATAACATCAATCAATACACATGTTTGTGCCCACCAGACACTGAAGGGGTAAATTGTGAAGTTGTTATCAAAGATCTTTGTGCAGATAACCCGTGTGCTAATGGAGGAACGTGTCTAAGATCTGGAGATAAACGTAGGAATTATACTTGTATTTGTCCTCCAAATTTTACTGGCCGAAACTGTACAGTAAACATCACTTCATCGTCTGTTGTGGTTACTTCAACACCACCTTTTCAAACAAGTAAGGTATTTTCCACCTCTTTGGTGGCAAATTTTAGCTTTGTCACTCAAGGATCATCAAGCTCTTCTATCATTACAATAGCAGTGACATCTTCCATTCCTAAAATGTCACAAATAATCACAGGAACTAGCTCCTCACAAGAAATGTCACCTGCAATGTCCTCGCGGCAGCTGTCATCTGTGTCTATGATGACTAGCAAGTCAGTAACTTCACTTTCATCATCAACACTACATGTACGGTCATCCTCAACAGTAAGGTTGTCGTCTTCATTTTTGTCAGTTCATGAGACATTTGTCTCTTCCTCGCTTCCTGCTATACAGACCTCATCACAAGTGACATTTTCATCTGTGTTACTTACTCCAACAGCAGTTAACAGCAGTGTTTCACAAGCTGTTACTCCAGTCATAACACCAAGTGGAAGCCAAACTGTGGTAACTATGACAACCGAGTCCATGGAGAGTTTCTCATCACGACCAGCTGAGACTTCATCTTTGCAATTAACATCATCACCTGGATCAAGCCGGCCACTGTCATCGTCTTTGTCTTTATCACTTAAATCATCACCAGAATTAACATCAACTGTTACAGATCCTGCGAGCACATCCCTAATGTTCTCTTCTTCTGTTGCCTCACCATCTGTAGCATCAAGGTCATCCATTAGAACAACTCCATTATCATTATCATTATCAACTGTCTATTACACGTCAACTGTCAAGATATCTCCGTCAATGAGTACTGTTCTTATCTCCTCATCAGTAGTGCCCACTACGTCACCTACACCAACTACAGTACCCTTAATAAATCAGACTTGTATTGACAATCCTTGTAACAATGGAACATGTGTTGACGAGTCATACTTAGGAAACAAGTTCCGTTGTGAGTGCCCTTATCCAACAATTGGACCAGTGTGTACAAGTGGTGAGTGGTAAAGTTATGTCCTTAGCCTTTGATTTTTAATTTAAGGGTGCATTCCTGTGGGATGATCAGGATGTGAATGGTTCAAGATCATTCTGATCATAGTGCATCAAAAGAACCAGTGGGTTCTTTCCATTATGCCAAAAAAATCTGGAAATTTCAGTACCTAGAAGTCAAATGGAAAGGTTCGTTTTGGTTTGGTTTGACTGGAATAGCAGGCACTACCTCTGGGGGCGAGTCACTTTAAATGGTCGGACCAATCCAACTGAAATTTGCCATCCCATATTGACAAACCGGTTTGTTACCCTACTTTCCTCTTCAGCAGATTTTATTTTTGTTGAAGCCTGGGGAATGGAAAAGAAAATGATAAGAGCTATTCCTTGCGGTTGGCAAGGATTGACTGGAAATATTGTTCCATTTTCCTTGATTTGACTCCTGCTACATGTACAGTGTAACATCTGCAGGCTAGGCTGACGTAATAGAAAACACCAAGTAAATCCTTGTCCAGAGAGTGGATGTACTGTATCCATTCCTTTGATGCACGATGATCCAATACTGACTTGGATCAGTGTTCTTGAAACGCACCCTTGGTAATAATTGTGCAAGATGAGTTATTTTTGGTGTACAGTAGGATGAAGGGTAATTCGCAGTCCTTTCAGGCATTAAATGCATTCTTACAGAGTACACATGTAGAGTAACTTTTCAGTCATGATTAACTGAGCATGCTATACATCTGAACATGTACAACCGAGTGTCCTTTAATTAATTAAACTACTTACTGTAAACACATTTCAGAATGATGTGAAATACATAATATCACCAGATAAAAAACAAGACATCCAATCATGTACATGTATATTACATTGAATGTTTTGATGGAATAATTTCAGCAGACTGTGTTATTAATTATTAATAAATTATTTTATTATTCAACTGCAGCGAATACCGTCCAAATAACAGTACAAATATACAGCAATATTGTACAGTTATTTGTACAGTAGAAAACATGTTTGCCGGACAGGTCGGCGCACGCACGCAAAACTGTCACACTCTCCCTCTTTCACTGATAAATTCATTGACTACAGCAGTCGGATAATAAATCTCTTATTAGATGTTTTGGTGTGTAGTATTATTGCTTTATATTTTTACTTGTTGTTTGTGTTTTGACTTGCGCTATGGGCTCGTCAAAATAGGCCACAACTCGTAAAAATATAAATCAATACTACACACCAAAACATCTAATAAGATATATTTATTAATGGAATGTTGTCAATAAGGTTCCTAATGTTATTCAGTTATGTTTTACACGTACATGTATTTCTTGATTGACAACCATGCCGGGATTATGTTTCTTACCTACATGTACGGTTAGCTTCCTTTTAAACCAGAACTTTTTGTTTACTAGCAAACTTGCAGTAAGTTAATTATATGTAGTGTAACCAATAATGATAATAAATGAAATGGTGGATTTTTAGCCTGATAAATACACATACATGTAAGAAGATGAATTTTTCTGTCAGTATCACGACTGGCATACTCACAGAAAAGTTCTCCTGCTTGGAGTCAAACCTGAGATCCCTTTTTTTTTTCAACTTATGTACAGTGTAGTTTGAATGTTTTCATGTGTTAAATTTTTCGAACCAGTTTGATTTTTATTATTATTATTATTATGATTATTATTATTATGATGATTATGATTATGATGATGATGATGATGATGATGATGATGATGATGATGATGATGATGATGATTATTATTATTATTAAAGATTCGCACAGTTATTGATGATATTGAAGCTGGTTTCGTCATTGGCTCCGGGCAACAACAAGTTGCCTAGGGAAGCCAAGAAACACCCCTTGTTTGCTTTTTCTCTTCTTT